GTGAACAATAAACCAAAAAAAAAAAAAAAAAAAAAAATGTTGATTGTAGCTAACAAGGCAATAAGAACACAAAAGAAAGGAACAAAAGGAACTCAGAAGTGAAGTTCCTTTTGTCCAGGACAAAAAAAGAAAGGAAATCAAGGATTGATTAGCAATGCCCTAATTAAAAACAAGCTCCACTAACATATACAAACTTTAGCAGGACTTATGGTGGAGCCTCCTTCTCACTGGGATGCACACAGCCGTGACTGGGGACTCAGAGTTGGTACTGCAGCATTCAAACAAGAAACACTCCCAAGTTTTTTTGGAGCAAAAATTCATGTCTACTGAAAACAGAGAAGTCAGAAAGCCAAAAGACAATGTTTCTTTTCTTTTCTTTTCTTTTTTTTTTTTTGGTGTGTATGTATGTGTATATATATATATGAATTACAAACAAGATTGAATGACATGACGACCCCAGTTCCCTTCTCCCTCCCTTTCTTCTCTACCACCCCCCCCCAACTAAAATCCTACCTGTCATATGTCCTTTCTTTTAATCTACACCTGACACAAAATTTCTGCTTCCTCATGACCTCTTCATACCTTCCTTTCTTCCCTTCTCACTCTTGTAGCTTCCTCCCCCCTCTTCCCATGTTCTCAATTTGCTCAGGGGATGATGACCCTTTCCCCTTCTCCAGGGGACAAAGTTAAGACAATGTATTTCTAAGGATAAAAAGTAAATAAAATAAAAATAGCCCCAAATCATTTTCCTAATAATCTGGATTGTTCAAAACATGGATTTGTATATTTAACGAAGGAAGCCAGACAAAAGTACTAGAAGAATTTAATTTTAAGCAGGGAACAAACCCAGCAAAAGGAAAACAAGTCTCTCTTTGCTTTAAACTGATCTCATTTACATTTTTAATGGATAAATGTGATACACATTTATTTAAAGCAAGCAAAATTAATACAATTATCCAACATTATCTTAGGAAGGTTGGACCATAAATCTCAGAGATGATTTACTTTTCTTTTTGAGTTACGAGCCACCATGTAGTTGCTAGGAATTGAACTCGGGAACTCTTGGAAGAGCAGCCAGCACTCTTAACAGCTAAACCATCTCCCCAGCCCTATTTTCAAGATGAAAATGAAGGTTCTTGTGGGAAAACAAAACTAACATTAGTAACATTTATGACAGTTGGTAAATCAGATAAAATGACTCTGATAAAGCCCTACAGGTTAAAATACAATTAATGAGGAAGAATAGAGCAGGAAAAAAAAATCAGGGAAAAAACATCCTGAGTGTCAATAACTCATTGAACAAGTTTTTAAATCAAACATACTCATGGAGTATGCCCTAAGAAATGACGTAACACATCAGAAGAGACAGGCTAAACTAAGTGTGAGGTAGAAAGAACAGTCATTTATCATCATTAACCTCCTGCATTACAATAGCAAATGTGACCCACTACTAGCTACTAATCATCTTCTAGCTTCTCTGTGAACTGCAATGAAAAACATTATTTCTACAAAGCTGTGGGGGTGCATGTGTCAAGCAATGAGAGAAAAGGCAGAACTATGCAAAATTTAACCACATATTCCAGCAACTCAAACATTATGGCAAAATGTCTTTTTCATTTCCATCTAAATACATCTAAATTTTAGAAATCCCAATTAAATATTTAAATATGTAAGAATCATTTCCCAGGTGTTTGCTAAGACCAAGTGAAAATATGTAAATAAAAAAATTTAAAGCTTCAGTTTCTATATTTCAGGCTAAAGCAGATACAGGGGGAAAATTAACTTAAATCTCCTTTCTGATTAATAAGCTTTTTTACAGAGAAAGAAAAGTCTTAAAATTGTATTTGTATTCCATATATATCAGAAACCAGAAAAAAAAGAACAAAGTATTTCTTCTGCAGAAGAAAATATGTACAATTCAAAAGCTAAAAAAGGAGAGAGAGACTTGAAATCCACTTAGATATTAAGTGTATCTAACTTAGAATTTCAGTAGTTAAAAAAAAATAGAGAAAAAGCGGAGTGAACTTTATCATCTATTAAGGAAATTCTGCTTGTAATTTCAGAATGAACAAAAAATAAAATAAAAGAGGGACTTATTTTCAATGCTCAAAGATAGTACCAAAAAAAAGTAAAAACTGAGTCTAAAATTAGACTGTTTTCACTCTAAGAAGACAATATTTAATAATAATGCAAACAATCCTAGAAATAAAGAGCTAAGTTAGTTAGCACATGCACAGGTGGAACACTGTACGGCACTTATTTACAACTTAAGGGGGTTTCTGAAGACAAGAAGAAAGGGAGATAAATGTTTATAGAGTTCAGGATAAGCTTAATGTTAAGTATGCCCTAAGCCCTGGACAAATGGGAAAGACTAACACAGAAAGACTGCTGGCTTCGGCACCTGAGAAGCAAGGGGAAACAGCCCTGACAAATGGCATATCCAGTAGAGCTCCCACCCATCAGTTTGCTAATCCATCAAGCAGACAGAAACCACCCCATCATTATTCAATTGGTTATAGATGGGACATGTTTTCTGTTTCTTTATACCAACATAAAACAGTAAGTGACAGGAGTATAGATAATTTATCATATACCACAGACTAAACATAATTTCCTTTTAAAAACACACTAGCAGCATGCTTTATACATGAACTAGAAACTTGACAATTTTGTTTCATTCTTATACAACAAATAACACATCACAAAGTTGTCATTCATGCAAAAATCTAGGAAAAGCAAAATGTTTAACATTATATAACATACATACATTGTATGTGTGTGTAAAATTAGGTCAAAATAACAGATCACTCTTCCTATGAACTTTTGGAATAAAAACAGTATTTTAAGCTTACTTTCACAAATCACAATGAATTTAATAGCCAATCAAAATTAGAACTACTGACACATACAGTCTGTATGAAGCCACCACAACTTCAGCATGCTTCCTCTGTGTTATAAATTCAAAGCCATACCCAAATTTTGCAGCAATGTCATATACTTGTTTTTCATGCTGAAGAACCTTCTCACGGTCCCCCTCGAACAGTAATGTGGCTACACTTAGTTGATTCGGATCAAATCCTTTAAACTACAAAATATAAAATAAAATTGTATTATTACCGGGAAGCCTTAATCTATAAAATAGTAAACTGAAATACATTTTGCCCTTTTCCTTCTGACTTGCCTCAATCACAGCAGCCTGTTAGACAGTGAGCTTTGAAGCTTTTACATGTCAATTACAGGAACACCTAATATCTGTACTGACTCTGGGAGTACAGCTCATAGGTGAGTGCCTGCTGGACCTGCGCGCAGTCCTGGGCTTGACGCCCAGCACTGCAAGAACACACACAAGGACTGAGGTGAAAAGAAATATACCATATTTCAAAGTATACCCATAGTGTTATAATCACCTACTGAAATAGTAATACAACAGGTAACTTGCCAGAATTCTAACTGTAATTTAAACACACACACACACACACACACACACACACACACACACACACACACAAATTACAAAATGATAGAGCAAGCAGCTGGCTGGAGCTAACAACATCTCTACAAAACAACCACAACACATTATATAATATCAACAAAAAAGATCTTGTGCATGTAAAGAACTAAGACTAATTTTAAAAAGAAATATATAAATTCACTAGGGGAAAATTAACATGGATGCTCCTGAATACATAAATTATTTCAAATATAATAAAAATTCCAGTGATCATTTGAAAAGGTCAAGTCTCCAAAATTTTCTAGAATAATGAACATGTGATGGTGGTAACAAAGAAAATTCTAAATAATAAGAGGTAAAACTAGATTATATCTTTTTAACTTTTCAAAAGCAAAACAGAAACTATTACAAAGAATGAGTGGTGTCTATTCTCAGGTAGTACTGTACGTAGTAAGACGTAGGCATCAATGTAAAAAGAAGCAGGCTTTAGTCACAGTCACACAGACACAAGGGTCAGCACAAAAGAGGAGGAGGTAAAGAGCAATCTAGATCTTCAGCTAACAGCAAAAGACTGAACAACAAAAACTCTCACCACAACAAAACCCTTTAACTGTCAATTAAAACAGGGAAGGGATGTGAGACAGCCTTATATATATATAAAAAAAAAAAAACAGTCTTATGAAAGGTGTGTATAGGGAGAAAGCAAGAAGAAAACTCATGTGCTGTACATGTACAATTTTAGATTTTTCTTTATTCTTACCTTTGTAATATAAAACTTTTTTAATCCATCCAAAAATGATGTAAAAATAGAGGAGACCTGAGGTTTAAGAGCATGACCTAGAAAGAGAAAAAGTTAACAGTCTAATTAATAGCAAATTATGTGTTTCTCAGATCAAAAGATGGCTTTAATTTACAATTCTAAGGAAAGCAAGCTTTTACAGTTGTAATTTATATGGACACTTATATTAAAATCTTTTACCTCTACATTCTTTCAAAGGTGACAGTGCTTTACTTATAAAAGCCATGGTTTGTTTTCTAAGCCAAATTACTACATGTAACTAATACTATACATAATTTCAGTTATCTTCCAATGGTATAGTTTACACACAGTAAACCACCTCATTAATTTTTATTTTATTAAGAACACCCAGTGGTAGCTGGTTTTGCTATCATTTTTTTAATTATATAGAAACCACACAGAACTATAATCAAATATGGAGTCCATGTGAGGTTTAAGGTTGTTTCTTAATTAATTCTTAACTCATCCAGAATTCTCAGCATAAAACTAGCAATTGCTTCCTTAATCACACTCATGGAGTTAAAATTGCCAAAATAACACAAACAGCATCTCAGAGTCTGCTAAATTAACATCACTGCCTGCAGATTACGCTTAATTGAGTGAGAACCTTCTACTGTTTTCTCATCGTTTTCAAAGAGTAGAAACTTCTCAGCACTGGGGATGGTTCTAGTTAAGTCCCACATCTGCCTTAGTGCTATGAGCACAGTTCAAAAAATATGCCATCCTGTTTATGCAGAATTTTCAAAAAGAATCTGCAAGTACTTAGCAAACCTAAAACTGTCTTTAAATAAAGGTTTTTTCTAGTCTTTCTGGGTTGAGGATTCTGAAGTATGTAAGAACTTCCTTTAAAAGAAATGCAAATGGTAAACTAACTGCTCCTAAAACAAGCACTGACAGGCTTCTGTTGCATTCCAATATATAATACTTATTCACTACATTTATCCCCAATTGCAATGACAAAACTAGGTTACATAAAAGACTAAGTAAAATAGGTCTTACACAGAGACTAAGAGAACCCGAGCTACAGCTTCAACAGTGAAAAACTGAGAGACAATCAAGTAGCAAACAAAGAAAATGAACCGTGGGGTGGCTAGAGACCATCTGGATCAAACTTTGATTGTGTAGAAATGTTTTTCTTTCCTATAAGACGTCAGAGGTGTTTCTCCAGCGTTAACTATGCTTTAAAAGATAATTTAAGCATTTATAAACTAGAAATAGCACATCATCATAATGCTCACTTCTTTTACCAAACAGGACATAACACACATTAATAACTAAAATTAAACACATAGATGTGTTGAGCTTTGCCTAGGGGATCAGGGCTGTAATCCCAGGTATTCAAGAGGATGAGGCAGGAGAATTGAAAGTTCAAGGCCCACTTGGACTAAGACCGAGTTCAAGGCCAGGCTAGGCATCTTATTGAGACCCTGCCTCAGAAAGTAAAAAGAGGGCTGGGATATCATATCATTTAGTGGTACAATGCTTCCCTAGCATGTCCAAAACCCAGCTTTTAGGCCTAGTACCACCATAAGACTTGAGTATGTCTTGAGTTCTTGCACAAAAGATTTAAATTATGCTTTATACAAAAGTCTTCAAATTCACTTAGCTTTAAACAATGCATAAAAACTCCAAATGTTACTAATCCAGTGTGAAAAATACTTAAGGATACATGATCACCTTAGTGACTCTGACTAAGGTGGGCATTATTCCCATTACATTGGTAGGAATCAGCCACATTCATCCACAATACTGAATTAAATTAACTATTATAAAAGTGATAATGGGCTGGCTGGGCATTGGCGGTGCACACCTTTAATCCCAGCACTCAGGAGGCAAAGGCAGGCGGATCTCTGTGAGTTCGAGGCCAGCCTGGTCTACAGAGGGAGTTCCAGGACAGCCTCCAAAACAATACAGCGAAACCCAGTCTCGAAAAACAAAAAATAAAAATAAATAAATAAAAAGAAAGTAAAAGTGACACTGACTTTAAGTGGGTTGACCATTACTAATAACCTGAAGACATTGGTATGCTTTTTTCTTTCATCAAGTACTGTTGCCTATCAAAACTATTATATATTACATATATTTTGGTTAGTGTGCCTTATTTTTATAGTAAATTAATTTCTAAATCTTTTAGTCAGAAAATATGATTAGCATCAACTAGCATATAGCATCAATTTCATGCTGTATTATTAATTCATCTAAAGGGATTTGTTAACAATGTATTTCTGAAGTGATTAGACACAGTTAAAGCATGGAGCTTTGAAATTAGACAAAGGTAGAGTTCGATCACAACTCTACCACTCACAACTTGTACACTCATCACCTTGAAGATCAGCTGACAGTTGTTATATGAGAAATTGTGATACTAACAATGTGCGCACCATTGTGCTATAAATTGTCTAGGATTTGTTCACTTTCTTTTGCTAGTTCAATGATTAATTCAACCAACACCTAAATGGTAAGTGAAGGAGATATAAAGAGGAAGAAATATTCCTCAAATTTGGAAGCCTCGTTCATATAGTAAATATGCATATCATGTCAATATACTGAAAATTGTTAACTTCAATATATTGTTTTAAGGGTTGTATCAGAAAAATAAAAATATTAAAAAATAGTGTAATAAATAATAAGCCTTGTACCTCATTAACCAGTATGACACAAAACCCTCATCAATCAGTCACATGGCTGGTGCAGTTCGGGATATCATTTGCTGTGTTAAGAACTACTCTTTTCATTGCTGAATCATGAGCCATGAAACTATGACTACATAGATAGAAATTCAATGGAATCTGAGAAATAAAAAATGTTATAACCTAAGGGGGAAAGGGTGACCCAGAGGGGAGGGGTATGTGCATATGGTCAAATATGATATCACTGAAGGACATTCTCTATACGAATAAAGAAAGCTAACAAGAAGTCACAGCCAATAGAGGCGTGGTATTTCAAAATGATCTCTCTGGTAGCTAAGTGAAAGGGAAATGAAAGAGTCAAGACTAGATTTCACGAGGTCCAACTTTGTATGCAAACTTAAAAACTACTAAGAATTAAAATAACTTCTTAGTCTAGAAATAGCATGGGTTGTGTGGGCACATCTCTAAAGAAAGAGAATGAGGAAGAGGATGATGGCACCGAAGACCTTTCCTGGAATGCGCACTGTAAACTGTTACATCCTGCTCAGAAATAAAATCTGCCCAAATTACAGGTGGTTTTACAAAGATGTGCATTCTTGAGACAATTCACTACCTCAGTAACACCTAAAAGACAACACAGTTGGATATGACTCTCTTAATACCTAGATCTCCAGGAGGAAATGAAGGAGCAGAAATATTGAGTTGGGGGAACAACAGAGGAGAGCAGGATGAGAGATACCATATTAGAGGAAGCCATTATAGGTCCGAGGAGAGATCTGGCACTAGGAAGATTTCCAGAGACCTACAAGGATGACAGGAACTGACAATCCAGGAAATGGTGGAGAGGATAACCTAAACGCTCTTCCCCTATGATGAGACTGATGACTACTTTTTATGTCATCCTAGAGCCCTCATCCAGTGGCTGATGGAAGCAGAGGCACACACTCACAGATATGCACTGAACTGAACTCTGGAACTTAGTTGTAGAGAGGGAGGGATGAAGATCAAAGGGGTCGGGACCAGGCTGGTGAAACGCACAGAAACAGCTAGCCCGAACAAGGGGGAGCACATGGCCCCCAGACTTCTGTCTGGGAGGCCAGCACGGGACTGATCCAGACCCCTGAACATGGATGTCAATGAGGAGGCCTCTGCACTCTAGGGGGCCCCTGGTAGTGGATTAGTATTTTTCCCTGGTGTAAGAAGGGACTTTGAGAGCCCATCCCACGGAAAGGGATGCTCTTGGCCTGGACACATGGGGGAGGGCCTAGGCCAAGCCCAGGATGATGTGGTGGACACAAAACAAAAAAACCCTAGATCTCCAATTATAGGTCAAAACTAATTCTTGATCAGTTAAGACTCTGGCAAACTTACTTAGGTTACTATATAATGTAATCATTTTTCCCTCCATTAAAATTAGGATGCCCTAAGGCACATAACCAAAAGCCTGCCTATCTTAGCCTTTGGCATTTGCTACTGAAAAATGACAACAATTTCAGGAACTGTTTCTGAGGTATTTAAATTCTTAAAACTAAATCCCAAAGTAAACTTCAGCACATGAAAGGCAAAGTAGCAACAACAACAACAACAACAACAAAAACAAAACAGAAAAGTTTAACGTTTTAGAAAAATGTTTTTAGACAAAGCTGCTTACTATTCTCTACCCCAATACCCTTATTATACTACATGTTCTTCACAACCCCACTGCCAATCAAGTAGTCGGTGTTTTGCGATGTTCTCAGTCTTTCTCCCTTAGCTTGCCACCTGCCGGTAGCTAATGGCTGTCCTGAAAACTTGCCCTCTGGTCCGCTGCTGCCACTCCACTCAGGGTACTCCAAACTTGCCCCTGCATTGCTCACCACATGCAGCTTCATCTCTAGTCCATTCCCACCTCACTCACCCTGAGCAACACTGCCACAAAGAGCTCTCTAAGGCAAAGATGATTGACGCCCCCTCCAAAAAGAAAGACACTGCAGGCAGAATAATATCTACAAAAATATTTGGAGTACTCTAAAACATGCTATTATGCTTTCACAATCAACAAATCTAGGCAGGTAGAAGACTCAAGCAAACCTCCATTTCCCCTTGAAGATTCAGAGCAAGTACCACCTCTTTTTTTTTTTTTTTTTTTTTTTTTTTAAAAACGGGTTTTTTTTGTGCAGCCTTGTCCACTCGCTCTTGTAGACCAGGCTGGTCTCGAACTCACAGAGATCCACCTGCCTCTGCCTCCCAAGTGCTGGGATTAAAGGCGTGCGCCACCACCGCCCGGCCAAGTACCACCTCTTCCCCATCTTCCCTCCTCTACCTTGGGAAAGCCCATGAATGAAGCAGCTTCACCAGCAACCCAGCCACCCTGTTCTCCACAGTCCTCCACCACCACTGCACTCTCTTTCATAAGACTGAGATGCCTGATTGGACCAAGAGCTCCATGAAGGGCAGCGAGACGACAATCTTCATTCTCTGAAAATTCTGGAGGTTAACAGAGCACATTTTAAAATTGCCACTCCTTACTCACCAAACTGAAACTGCTGGTTGTCCATGAGGCGGATAGATGCAGGAGCACATCTCTGTTTTAAAAGGAAGAAGTGGGGAATCAGTGCAATAGACTAAAAGTCAGACAGCAGGATCTGTTACTTTATAATGTAAGATTTCAAGGACTTAGCTCCTAAAGATACATGGAAAGAAATCGCAACTTGTTATATAACTTCATGAAGACCAAACATCAATCGTTTATAAAAATATTTGGAGAAATCTACGTATACAAGCAATTCATAATTACTCAAACCTTTAATCTTAGCAATACAATATACTTACTGCCTGGCAATAACTTGTGAGAACAACTTAAAAGAAATTCCACTCCTCAAAATAGACTATTGTACAACAAAGTAGAACATTTTAAGACTAAATACGTGTTTTAAGAATTGTGCATTTTTAAATATTTCACTAGGTTCTTGCATAGTAATTTTCCCTTTCTCCCCCCATACCACCCGCTGTCTCTGTCTCTCTCTATCTCTCTCTCTCTCTCTGTGTGTGTGTGTGTGTGTGTGTGTGTGTGTGTGTGTGTGTGTGTGTGTGTCTCAGTGATGGAATCAACACTGTGGCCATGTACCTGCTGAATAAATGCTCTACCATTCAGATACATCACTAACCTCTTGCATACTTTTAAAACAAGGAAAGCATTGGTGGAAACTGTTACATGCCCCCCGCCTCAAAAAAAACTTCTAAAATATATCTACAATGTCTTCAAAGACAATGCTAGGAACCTTCCCTTCTTTTGAACCCTTCCTCAAAATTATTTAAATAGAAAATTCGGAAGACACACGAGTGCTAAGTTCTTTCAGGGTTATATGTAATGCAAATAGCAATGAAACTTTGATGGTTACGAATATATATCTAGCCAGGTGGTGGCAGCACATGCTTTTAATTCCAGCACTTGAGAGGCAGAGGCAGGCATATCTCTGTGAGTTCAAGGCTAGCCTGGTCTACAGAGTGAGTTCCAGGACAGCCAGGGCTACACAGAGAAACCGTGTCTTGAAACACCAAAAGAAAAACAAAAAATACAAAAAAAGAAGATGCATGACAGATAGAAAGATAAAGGTAGATAGAGAGATAAATAGGCTATAGAGATGGCACAGAAGTTAAGAGCACTGACTGCTCTTCCCGAGGATCCAGGTTCAATCCCCAGCACCCACATGGCAGCTCACAACTGTCTGTAACTACAGTTCTAGGTGATCTGACAGCCTCATACAAACACATACACACAGGCAAAACACTGATGCCATAAAAAAAATAATTAAAAAGAGGGTATTAAAAAAAAGAATACATATCTAAAGAATAAGTCTGCCCCGGTTGGTTGGTTGGTTGGGGGGGGTGTGTGTGTGTGTGTGTGTGTGTGTGTGTGTGTGTGTGGGTGGAAAATAGCTAGGAAGAAGGGAAAACAAGACAAAACACAAAGTGAAGACAGCAGGCACTGGTTGAACAAACTTCACCTGTAAATCTGCAATCTAAAGTGCTCTGAAATTCATTTTTTTCAGCAATAACTTTCCATCACCAAGTTTCAGATCTAGATGCACTTGGATATGCAGACTTCAAGTGCCCAACTAGGAAAGTGTATGGAAGTGTGCAAGAGCTGAGTACCAACACTGATCCTGAGAATTCGGACAAGACATTCACCCTGCACTAGCTTTGTGATAATAAAAACTATAAAATGGTCTGATGCCCAAAGAGGGTTATGTTTCTTACACAAGATTTTAGGGCAGCTAAAGTTCTACCAAGGGCTGTTTTTAGAGCAGATATTTTGAAAAATGCTGTAAACATTTTTTGAGACAGAATATTGCTATGTAGCCCAGACTGCCTTCAAACACACGGCACTCCTTCTGTCTCAGTCTACAAAAACTGCCATAAAACTGTAAACATTTTGTCTTCGAAGTATCATTTATCAGTAAAGCTATAAAATTCCAAAACTCCTTAAAAGCTTAAAATGTGAATTAAGACATTTTTGGTACTACTTGCTTTTACTTGAATAAGTATTAATTCTTATTAAAGCATAAAATTTTACCCAATAAAAGGATAGGTAAGATTCTTATTTTAAAGGGTAAGCAATTTATTTATTCATCTAAATACTAAAGATGAGATAATTCAATTGATTTTCAGAGTCACCGGCAGGTGATCTGAAGGAACAAACAGTGGCAAGTGATCTTATACACACGATGGCAACAACCCACCCTTCACACCGTGCTTTCCAACTCGGCCCTGCTCTTATTTCACATAATCAGCAGCACTGTCCCAGGAGCAGAACCTGCACTAACAACTTCTCAGACAGGCACAGAATGGATAAGGTTAAACTGTTTGTCCAAGGTTAGAAGGCTATGAGATACCAAAGAAGGCACCAAGATGTCCTAATTACTGATGAGCAGTTTCAAGCACGACACACAGTCTTGAGTGAGCGCACACACACACAAACACACAATCAATAAACACACAGTGTTTAGCCTCATATTCAAGTCAAAGATTACATCAAAACTACCACATCTGCCATTTTGTGCCTTATTAAAAGCGTAACAGGGGCTGGAGAGATGGCTCAGAGGTTAAGAGCACTGGTTGCTCTACCAGAGGTCCTGAGTTCAATTCCCAGCAACCACATGGTGGCTCACAACCATCCCCTATGAGATCTGGTGCCCTCTTTTGGCGTGGAGGCAGAATGTTGTATACATAATAAATAAATAAATAAATAAATAAATAAATAAATAAATAAATGTGTAACGGTTTAAAAATTACAAAGGGAGATGGGTGGTGGTGATGCACAACTTTAATCCCAGCACTCTGGAGGCAGAGGCAGGGGGAGCTCTGTGAGTTAGAAGCCAGCCTGCTTTACAAAGTGAGTTCCAGTACAGCTAGGGCTACCCAGAGAACCCTGTCAGGAAAATTAAAAAAAAAAAAAAAAAAAAAAAAAAACCACAAGGGATAATTTCAAATTTTGGTATAAAGGTATTATAGTTTGGTCAGGGATTCCTAAAAGCACTGTCAGTTTCCAATATACTAAAGGAGGATTAATTTTCTTCACATTTATAATTCCAGATGCCTTTAATAAAATGAGTGTAGTGACTTTTAATAAAACATATGAAACCTGATTAGGGCAAATTTTCTTTCTTCATAAAATAAACAGACTATCTATAGGCATACATGAGATAAAATCTGTAATATACATGTTTGTATGTTCTGGCATAAGCACATTATAAAATACTAAAGAATTCAGAACTCCTTTTCGATGGGGTGTTAAATTCCTGATGAGAACTGTAAATTCTACTTGCTGCCACGAGCCAGATTCTACTGCAATTGCCTCAAGAGCGGGTGCTATTAACAAAAACAAGCAACACATGTGTGTTAAGGAAACGGGAGTCAAAGACACCTCTCTCAGTAAAAGCTTATTGTTGGGGGGAAGCTGGACTACTAGGATGCCTTTTTTCTCTCTTACATGACTTAATTATAGGAATGCACAATTTTCCTAAATAGGTGAATAAGATATTTTTTAAAAAGAAACTGCTGTAATTCCTTAGATATGATAATCATATTGTGATTATAAAGAATGTTGTTCTTGAGCTGGAGAGATGGCACAGGGGTTAAGAGCACTGACTATTCTTCCAGAGGTCCTGAGTTCAATTCCCAGCAACCACATGGTAGTTCACAACCATCTGTAGTGGGATCTGATGCCCTCTTCTGGTGTGCACTGTATACATGATAAATAAATAAATCTTTAAAAAAAAAAAAAAAGAATGTTGTTGTCTTATTTTTTAGGAGATGACTGCTAAAGTACTTAGGAGTCAAGTGTTAGGGTGTCTGCAACTTCATTGCTAATAGTCCATATACATAAGCGACAAACAGAAAACAGTGGCTCTATGAAGTGAATATGCAGGTGACAGCTATACTATTTATCCCAATGTTCTAGGTATAAATTTTTCAAAATTAAAAAAAAAAAACTAGAAAAATAGGCAAGAAAGCTTTAGAGTACTTGCTAAATCATGCAGCTACCAATATTCACCAAAATTGAATGTGATTTTAACTTGGTGGCTGAGTTACATAACAAATACTACCCCAAAACAAAGCATGAACACTGACTTTTAGAAATAAATTATCTAATTCAAGTCAACAGATTTAATGTTTCATATTTTTTCCAAAGTCAATAAATAGTTTTTCAGTTGCTGTCTTAAGTAAATTCACAGAAGCAAAGAATGCAAATAAAAAATAGTATCTAGTTAGTATGCTGGCCTCTGGCAACTGATAATTTGAAAATTATTACAGATCATTCTAATATACAAAAAATTTACTTAGAATATGAAACAATTAAAAGTTACTACAGCAACTGATTGAAGAGACGTTCATATAATCAAAATATCAAAATCATGTCTCTGGTGCATGTATAGCTCAGATCAAGTTGTCTCCACTGCTTTCAAAACTAAATGGTGAGGTCAAACTAAAAAACTAACTCAATCCTCTTTCAAGGATGGAGAGTATAAACTCTAAGAGCTGAAAGTTCAAATTCAAACCATCCCATCCCAATAAGCAACACTGAGCCCACTATAACAGATAAGGAGGCAAGGAGCCCTGGCTACAGTGACCCCCTGCTGGTAGGTGTCAGAAGTAATCTGGGAGGGCTGTTTCAGGGCAAATAAAAATTGCTTACTCCAACTAAAATTAATGAAATAACTAAGTGTACTTACTAGAATTTCTTGTGCGTCTGCGTGTACAATCTTCTTATAGTTAGTAGCTAACAAAGACAGTATAAAAACTTACTGTGCACTAATTAAAAACTATCAGTTGTTTTATCTTGATGAATAAATAGATAAGCACACAGAACTCAAATACAAGTACAGATTTGATCAAGTCAAAATTCTAACTATTTATTTCCTTTGAGGGCTTTACAAACCAGAAATTTTCTTGAATCTAACCCTAGAAAGTAAAATTTAGAATTACTATCTATGCTAAATTAAAAAGAAACAGTATCTCAATCCAACTATATCTTAGAGATTTCTGAAGAGTGCTTTCCTTACATTATGCCATGGTTACTGTC